TTTTCAATGAAACAACGATTTGTCTTTCTAACTTTAGTCATGGCATGTTTCAAATGATGTTAAGCAAGAGGGAAGGAGAATTTTAGTAGATATCCTCCTTAGTAATATTTAGAGTTTAAATATGTCCAATCATCTCTGTTAATAAATATGGATTTTCATCTGTGAATGCACTTGAATATATTTTGACCTTGCTCCCAGTAAGTATAGAATCTTCAAATATCAATTTTGATTTTTACAGCTGCATATTTTTAATGGAGAGAGTAGTAGTGCCACTATTCTGTAGACCCTTTATTTGGCAGATCTTCATATTGCCACCTCTGAGGTACATGTGGCTAGGGTTAGTAGCAGCAATTGCTTCTCAGTCTTTTTTTTTTTTTTTTTTTTGAGACGGAGTTTCGCTCTTGTTACCCAGGCTGGAGTGCAATGGCACGATCTCGGCTCACCGCAACCTCCGCCTCCCGGGTTCAGGCAATTCTCCTGCCCCAGCCTCCTGAGTCGCTGGGATTACAGGCACGCGCCACCATGCCCAGCTAATTTTTTGTATTTTTACTAGAGTCGGGGTTTCACCATGTTGACCAGGATGGTCTCGATCTCTTGACCTCGTGATCCACCCGCCTCGGCCTCCCACAGTGCTGGGATTACAGGCTTGAGCCACCGCGCCTGGCCTCTGCTTCTCAGTCTTAACTTTTGACATCAAATTATCTTTGAGTAGCAAATTTAAAATTCTATGGGTTGATAATTAGTAATAAGTAGTTTTTAGTTAAGTAATGACCTAACAAAAACAACATTTCAGAGTTTAAATGCAGTTATTTTTACTTTGGGATTACTAAACATTGGTTGCTTTCATTGATGATAACAACCATATTTAAAAGATTGATGGCTAGATTGTAGTTAAAGAAGGGCTTCAGATCTGAAGAAACTTTTTGAATTTTTTTGTTGACACAAATATTTGAGCTTGTTTAAAAGTTATTTAACAATTTTATTAACTATACATGTGAAATGTAATTTTTAAATATTTTTCAAAAGGTTCTGCAGAATACTTGATTGATATTTGTATAGCTGAACATGCATATACAACCATCTCCCAGAAAAAGAAACAGAACATTATTAGGACCCTTGAATCCCTCCTTATGCTTCCTTTCAAACAGCATCCCCACAAGGATAATCATTTCTTTATTTAATATCCATAGATTTAGTTTTGCCTACTTTAGTACCTCAGTAGTTTGACAAGTAGATAATTTTATTAGAAGAAAGCAAAGGCTGTCATTTTCACAATGTTTTAAGTCAGATCTGTACACAGGTTTGAGAACTAGGATCCTCAATCTTTTATGTGTCTATTTCACCAGAAGGATATCACCCATTCTTATGATCCCTACCAGTGTCTTACTATTAGAAGCTCTTGCACCAGTGTAGGAATGTATAATTAGGAAAAAATCCCAAGAGCATTCTGTTCTGTTAGCATAGTTTTTTAACCTCAACATTATTAGAGGCTGGATAATTCTTTGTGGGGGAGACTGTCCTGCACATTGTAGTATGTTCAGCAGCATCCTAGTTCTCTACCCACTAGATGCCAATAATACCCACCCCTCTGGTTTTGAAAACAAAAATGTCTCTAGCCATTGCTAAATGTCCCCTAAGGCACAAAATTGCTGCTAGAGAGAGCAACTGTGCTAGCGAATATATAGTTGGACTTTGGTATCCATGGGTTCCCCAACAATGATGAGTTGAATATATTCAAGAAAAAAATTGTTTCTGTACTGAACATGTACAGACTTTTTTTTTTACCATTAATACCTCCTAAACAATACACTATAACACTTAATTAGAATTTGCATTGAATTAGATATTGTATTGTAAGGGATCTAGAAATGACAAAGTATACAGTAAGATGTGCATAGGTTAAAGGCAAATATGCCATTCTGTACAAGGGACTTGAGCATCTACAGATTTTGATATCTGCAGGGAATCCTGGAACCAATCTCTCATGGATATTGAGGGACAACTATATATCCCCTGTTTGATGATCATTACTTTAAAAGTTAATAGAGCAATGTGTAAAAGTTTAGAGAAGTAGCTCTCAGTCCTTTATAAGAAGGTTTCAATACTCAGTCCTCTTAGCAATGTATTGGACCACTTAGAAAGATGCTAAGGTCCATGTCACCTGGCCATCTTGGAGGATGTTGTAGAAGGTAGAGCAAATATTGGAGTATATGATGTTTAAAGTACTTTTCAGCAGCCTTACTATAATGGTGGGATTTAAAACTGGAGGTTTTTACAGTTTAGGGAGGAAACTAGAAACATGTCTTCTTTCAAAATCCTAATATATATATATATATATATATATAATCCACAGGAATAAGTACCACATACAAGATTGCAAGACAAATTCTATTGAAACATGCCTCTTCTCCATTTTTCACTTCCCTTAATAATTGTCTCTGACACTTGCTACCTGCTTTAAAAAAAGGGAAACCTTTTTGGAAAATTTGAATGGAACCCATTCAATAACTAGCGAGATAGGCAAGAAAAGAAATAAAATTAGCATATTGCTAATGTTAATCTTCTTCCTTTTATGGGGCAAAAATTATATTTAATTTATTGTACCTTAAATAATCAATTATATTGCCCCATGTATGAATCTTTCCAAAGTTTCTTAATTCCCACTATATATCAATAATGGAAACAGAAAATCTCAAGAGAAAAAAATACTCAAAGTTTTTAGTTCATTTGGTATTTTACCTCAATTTTAAAAGGCTGTACATATATAGTCAAAATAGGGCTAAAAATACTCAAGTTAACTTACACAAGTGTATTTGTCTTCTGTTTTCTCAATCACAATAGTCTGTGTTTCACTACCTGGTGGTATATATTCATAGTCGTCATACAGGAGGCCTAGAATTGGATATTGTGTCCTGTACCTGTAAACAAGAACAGAGTTGGTTTACGGGCTGCATGAGAAAATAACTTTCATTCCTTTTTAGTCACTCCTAGTGATTGCCCTTATTAAGCCAATTTGGCTCTGAATGACTTTTAACTGTTTCTGAAAAAAGAAAACAAAACTATTTAAATGGGCAAAGATTGACAACCATTGTTTTCAAGAAAATAAAGTAGAGGGACTTCTGTTCTGGCTGTGATGGACCACTGGCAGCACAGGACAGTGACCCCAGAAAAGGAAAGCAAATGATACAGGCCCTACAAGTGCCTAGCTCTCTGCCTGGAGAGATTTTCATGGCCACAGGATAAGGAAAAGGAAGCCAAACAGATTCCAGCAGTTTTACCAAGATGAGGTGATAAAAGAGTAAGTATAGGCAAAGGCACCCAGAGTTTGTGGGGCAGAGTACCAGACAGAAGAGAGCTACATAGATAGAGAGAGGTCAGGACAGTTGTAGAGGCTTTCCCAAGAGTCTGGGTGAGTACCAATCAGTGTGCCTATATGGGAAGAGGCTACCAAGACTTAGGAAATAACGACCAGAAAGGAGCAGCCTGGCAATTATTGGAGCTCTCATAGGGATGGTAATATTTTGTGTTCCACTAACCAAACCAGAGTGAAAACTCTCCTGATGTAGAGGCCATAAGATAGATGCCACAGAATATTGCCTTAGTAGTGGGATAAAATTAGCCTTAAAATACAGGTTATTCTCACACTGTTTAAAAGCAAGGCTTGAATGTACTAAATTGTTTCCAAGTAATTTCATCTCAGAGCAAAACCCCAAATATTTTAAGTAATACCCTAGCCAAAATCGAAAACTCAACAATGTAAAATCATAATTCATGGCATTCAATAAAAAATGAATAGTCATACAATGGACGACGTGATTAATAATGAAGAGAAATATAAATTAGGAGAAACAGACCAAGAAACAATACTGATAAAAAAAATGAATAGGCAAATGTGCATCTATTAGAAATATACAAAATATGCAATGTATATTCAAGAAGTTAGCGGAAAGGATGAGCACAATGAGGAGACAAATAGAGAATATAAAAAAGATCCACATTGGACTTCTAAAGATTAAAAAAATTAGATGGTACTAATTGCAGATTAGGCACTACATTAAAAAAAGGTCAATACATTTGAATACATTAAGAGAAATAATCCATAAAAGAAAACTGAAAAAAATGAACACAGCATGAGATAACTGTGGAAAATATCAAATGTCCTTATATATGTATAATTAAAGTCCTGCAGGATTGGCAGGAGAGAAAAATAATAGAAGATACAGTGACCATATTATTTTCAAATGTGATGAAAAACTATAAACACATGTATTCAAGAAGCTCAGTGAACGTGAAAAAAAGAAACACGAAGATAACTACAGAGGCACATCATTATCAAATTGCTGAAAACCAGTGAAAGAGAATCTTAAAAAGAGCTTCAGAGAAGAAAGGACATTACTCAAAGAGCAAAAATCATACGATTAACAAAAAACTTCTTCTCAGTCACAATGAAAGTCAGAAGACAGAAGAGCAACATTGTTAAAGTACATTTAAAAAAAAATGACTGGCTTACTCATCTATACACAACAAAAATATTTTTGAATAATGAAGAATTGATAAAGACTGTTTTCAGACTTAAAAGGCCAAAAGCAGTCTTCACCAGAAAAGAAGCATAAGTTTTAACATCAATGTTAAAAGAAGTTTTTAAGGCAAAGGGAAAATGATATAAGATAGAAATTTGAATTTAATCAAAGTACATAGTACTAGAAAAGATAAATATGTAGGTAAATTTAAAACATTGTTTTTCTTATTGTTCATATTTATTTAAAATATAATTGACTGTTGAAAACAAAAATAATAATGTATTTGGGGGCTAATAACATATGTAAAAGAAAATATGTATAATAAAAATAGTAAAAGTCATATTAGTCATATGAAGGGGAAATGGAAATTTACTATTACAATGTTGTTATGCTACATGTGATGGGATATAATATTATTGGAAAGTAGGCAGTGTCACTTAAAGAAGAATGCTATATACCCTACAGCAATCAAAAGAAAGAAGTACACCTAATCAGCTAATAAAATAGGTTAAATACAACATGAAGAAATAATTAATGCAAAAGAAGAGAGGAAAAGGGAAAGAAAGAAAATGTGAGATAAATATGAAACAAAGAGCAAGATGGTAAATTTAAGTCTATCCATATAGGTATGTATGACCTAAACACTCCAATTAAAAAGCAATGATTGTGAAATGAGATTAAAAACTCAAGACCCAACTACATATGCTATTTAAACATACAGTCCTTAACACTTTAAATACAAGCAAACTAATAGATTAGTGTAAGAGAATGGAAACATATGTACCATGCAATTTCTAATCAAAAGAAAGTTGGAGTCGTTATATTAATATTAGATGAAGTAGCCTTCAGAACAAGAAGCATAATGCAGATAAAGGGTGATTTTATAATGATAAAGGTGTCAATTCATTAACAAAATGTAGCATTCCTAAATGTTCATTCATCCATAGAACATAACAATCCTAGATGTTTATGTACCTCCCAGCAGAAACTCAAATAACATGAAGCAAATTCTGATAGAACTGAAAGGAGACATAAGCAAATCCACAATTAGGGCTGGAGATGTTGGCATGCCTTTCAAGACAATTGATATAAGTAGAAAGAAAATAAGTAAATACATAGATTAAATCCCCAAATATGTGGAAACCAAAAAAATACAAATCTAAAACACCCATAGATCCAAGTCAAAATTAAAAGGGAAATTAGAAAATATTTTGAACGAAATGAAAAGGAAAATATAACTGATCAAACTTGTGGGATGCAGCTAAAATAGTGCTGAAGTAGAAATTTACAGCATCAAATATTATATTATGAAAGAAGAATCATCATCTAAACTTAGTGTCCTATGTTTCTAGGTTTTGAAGCTGGAAAAGAAACAGAAACAGAAAAGTAAGTGGAAAATAACATAAGAAAAAACAAATATAGGAGAAGAAATTACTGAAATAGGAAACAAACAGTACAGGGAAATCAATTAAATTGAACCTGATTCTTCAAGAATATCACTAAAATTGACATAACTCTAGTCAGACTGACAGCAAAGAAAGAGAACATACAGTTTACCAGTATCAAGAAGGGGATATCGCTATAGGTCCCACAGTCTTTGAAAGAATAATAAAGAAATATTATGGTAAATTTATGCCAAAAACCTGAGGATTTAGATGAAATGCACAAATTCCTTGAGAGACACAAACTACAAAAGCTCACTCAAGAAGAAATAGATAATCTGAATAAGTATAGGCCAAGTTTTAAAATTGAATTTACAATTAGATCCTTTCACACAGAGCCAACTCCAGTCAAGGATGGCTTTATTAGTTAACTCTATCAAAAAAATTAACAAATAAATAATATCAATCTTACATAAACTCTTTCAAAATATAAAATGGTAGTGCATTCTTCTCAACTCATTTTAGGAGATCAGCATTACTCTGATGACAAAGCAGAGGCATCATGAGAAAAGAAATGTACATACTACATTTGTACAGACTACATAGTGTACAGGCTACGTAGTGAATACAGGTGTCAGATCCTTAACAAAATTTTAGCAAATTGGATCTAGCAATTTATGAAAAGGATATTACATTAATCCAGCAGGATTTATCCCAGTAACAAAAGGTTGGTTTAATATTCAAAATTCAATAATTTATCATTTTAACAGCTCAAACAATAAAAACTTATGTTCGGGTGTGGGATTTCAAGAATGAAGGAGTAAGGAATTTGACAGACCCTCTCTACAAAAAAACAATGTTTCAATTATTTCACTAGCGAAAGTAGTATATTTTTTAAAAATTAATCATTTAAAGTCTCTGGAACTCATTTAAGGGAGGACAACGAATAGAAAAATATTCAAGAAAATCTACTAAATCTTGTTAACAACATTGAAAGTCTATGATATTTGAGCCATGACCTGCTTCATCCAACTACCTCCCACCCTTCAACTCATGTTTCTGGAAAGAGTGGTTGAGAAGTTGTACTCTCTTCCTCTACCCTGTCCCCTACTTATAGAATGGAAACTATACCACACATGGCATGCTGAAAATATTGGGTTCCAGATCAACCCCACCCAACATATTCCTTGGTCAGAGATTCTACAATGAGAGGAGCAAGCCAAGAAGACCACGGGCTGCCACCTCCCCTCAATGCCCACTGACAGAACAGTGATTGTTACTGGAAAAAGTGGATGCCTGCCCCAGTTTGGTGCAATGGCACAGGGATTCCTCCCAGGTTGAAAGGTAGTGATATGGTTTAGCTGTGTCCTCAACAAAATCTCAACTTGAATTATATCTCCCAGAATTTCCACATGTTGTGGGAGGGACCCAGGGGAAGGTAAGTGAATCATGGAGGACTGTCTTTCTCATGGTATTCTCTTGATAATGAATAAGTCTCATGAGATCTGATGGTTTTATCAAGGATTTCTGCTTTGGCATCTTTCTCATTTTCTCTTGCCACCACCACCTAAGAAGTGCCTTTCACTTCCCGCCATTATCCTGAGATGTCCTCAACCATGTGGAACTGTAAGTTTAATTAAACCTCTCTTTGTTCTCAATTTCGGGAATATGTTTATCAGCAGCATGAAAACGAACTAATACAGGTAGTCTATAAATACAAATGCTCTGCAGCTCTGTGTGATGGGACTGACTTCATTTGAAACAGATAATATAAAAATCCGTGTCTAAGAATATTGCTGAAAATAATGGTGGACTTGGTGGAGAGCAATTAAGAGGAGGCTGGAAGCTCTAGAATACAAGCAAAATGGCAAAGCAGCTTGAAGAGAAATAGGGAAAGAGATGGCCAAAAAGAGCCCTCCTGGGATCATAGTCATTTATGGGAGTCAAGAAGGCTATGCACATGTCCTAGGCCACAACCACTCAGGCACATGCAAAGCAGAAAGTGGGGGAAGAAAT